CTAGGTTTTTTAAACTGGCGAAAAAGATAGACAAAATACAATTAAGTGTATATTGTAAGGTTGTGAATTTTGTATTTCTCAAGTACTGAGAGTTTTGTATTTTTGAATAAAATAAATATTTGTTTATTAATAAAAGTAAAATATTTATTAATTCTGCTATACTCAATTAATAATTAAAGTAAATAAATGCTTGGTAAAATTAATTCAATACTATTTGGTATACAATTAAAATGTTATTTAAGCGCCAGGGGCATTATAAGGGTTCCCATGATACTAGCAACAAATAGCGTGAGGGATGTTTGTCACTCGTGATGTTTTCAACAAGTTAACGCTCGTGATACGTAGATTTTATTTTTACATAATTATGCTGATTCAGAATTACTGCTGCTATTTCACTACATGTTAACTTGATCTGCACTGGTTGTCATGAATTTAAAAGCATGCTTTTTACTTCTCCTTCAAGTGACGTCAGAAATATCTGCATTACTTTTAATGTAAAAATACATAAAAGTAATTATAATTATCGCACATTAAATTAAATGCACACGTACGCTAAATTTCATGTACACGTACGCTAAATTTCATGTACACGTACGCTAAATTTCATGTACACAGACGCTAAATTTCATGTACACAGACGCTAAATTTCATGTACACAGACGCTAAATTTCATGTATACAGACGCTAAATTTCATGTACACAGACGCTAAATTTTTATGTACACAGACGCTAAATTAACAAATTTACTCGAATTTGTAATGAAATTTCCTTCAAAATATTGAGTTTTCGCACCTAACGATCCATGATTTGTAATGACTTTTTCAAAAAGTGATGACATATGTTAATTCCGACAGAAATTGCAGTATAAATAGTATTACGTGACTGTTACTAAGGGGAGAAATTGTATGCTGATTTAGCACCGCTAGTTTTTATGAATTCATTAATTTCAAGCAAAAGTTTCGAAAATTACTCTTTTTTTTTCAAAATAATTAATAAGCTGAATTTTTAGATCAGATTTCGTTTAAGGCATATGTTTAAGGTTTAAAAAATCTGTATCGTAAATTTTGTAGTTTGAAAAGTGAACATTTGGTAAATATCGAAAATACAGAAAGTTCACCTCAATGAGACTAGCACCTATTTTTAGCGTCAGATGATATATAAGAGGAGAAAATTTAAAGAACATATTAGGAGCGATTTGGAGAAAATTATTACTTCAAAACTATTCATATTTTCGAAAAATTGTAATTGACACTATTTCCAGATCTAACACAAAAAAAATTGAACATTTGCAATTTTCTAAGCGTCAAGGATTTAAACGGTAATGACCTTCACCATTCTCTTAAGTGTCCTTGATGCTATCGCAAAAGGTTCGATCAAAAAAATTGACGGCTTAGTAGGGTTTTGTTGTCAATTGCACTGATCGCTGTTTCAGGATCTCGCGATGAAGCAATATTACATACGCAGAGAGAAATATTTCTATTGCTACTGAGATGTTTAAATTAAATTTCAATGAACAAGAGAATTTCCTCGAAACTGATTTGTCGAAAAAGAATGGTTGTCGCGTCAGAATTAGCTATGTTTCTAGGCAGATCCTTGAGATCCTGAAAACACGAGAACTGGCAGAATGAATGCGTTTCCTTTCTGAAAACAAGAAGTATTAGATTAGATTTCCAAACTCTTAAAGGGCAAAACTGGTAGACCAACTCAAAATTATATGCATCTAGTGAGGGAAAAAACGAAGAAAAAAAGAAGACATGAGAAGATTATACACATCACAAGAATTACCTTTTGGAACTCAAATGAGTTTAAGAAATGAAGGGAAATTGAAAGCTGCAACAGTGGTTAAAAGTGTCACTTTAACCACGCCCACACGAGCGGCAAAGTACCAAAGAGCATAAACTGCAGAAAGAGAAACCACAATCTCACGCGTTCCTTCTATTGTGACAGAATCTAAACTCACCACATCTCAATGTAATGTTATAGGATCTTTGATGCAGCATAATAACTGTGAATTGTTGCCCAGTTATACTCACGTGAAGAGAGCAAAAGGTGAATTTTATACTCTACGCCCCACTATCACCATCAGTGAAAAGTGCCAAAGTGCAGCTTCAAGCATTAATAGACCGCACATGGGATCGAACTCTCTTAGTTCAAGCTGAAGTTCTTGGGTCTGCATTATTGCAGAAGAATGCTTTGTTTTTACATTCAATGGTGATGTGACGGGGAGTTCCGCCCACAGTGAATATAAGCAACAATTTAGCCATGATGTTGACACAGACCCAAATGTATTTACTAGTTATCTTGTTCCTCTGCAACTCATAGGAAGAGACTGTGAAAACAATAAGGAATGTGAGTTATGGAAGAATCCAAGTCCATCTCCACGATTTCCTCGTCCTAGTAGAGAACAATTCGTTCGGGATACAAAGAAACCTTCATTTATTGAAGAGAAATATGTGATAAGTCAAATACTATAAAAAATGCAGAAAAACATCTTGACTTATCAATTGCCGACTTCTAGTATCATCCAAATCAGATTATTTATACATTAATTTTCTGATGTATTATGTCTCAATTTATTCCAGTTAAAAAAAATTGCAAACGTGACTTCAGATTCGGATTCAGAAACCCCAAAAACCCCTAGATAAAAAGTTTTCACATGCGATTAGCACCTTATTTGATTTTTGGTCAGCAGTTCGGGCTTGTGCCCCAGTGTGGGACGGGAAGATGGGCAGACGGCGGATAGACAGACGGTCGCTTCATTGTTAATGATTCCGGCCGTGTTCGTAACCGAGGTCATTAGGCCCGTAAATGTAGGGTATGTTTTTGCCTCGTGAGGTGGGGATAGATCATCACCCGCTGGATGGCGAGATACGGCGCAGACATACCGGCGGCTAAAGGGGTTTCCCCCACCAGGTATCTCCCACCAGCAGGGCACCACCCCAACCGGGATAAACTCTGAGCACGGGCGCACAAACGGACAGACATGCAGAAACACGGAAGGACATGCACGGATGGACACAGACAGACAAGACGGGCCCACACACGGACGGACGGTCGTGACATACACACATACGGACGTGACATACACAGTCGGACGGATATATATACACACACACGGACTGAAGGGTAAACAGACTGACAGCCTGACGGTCGGATGTACAGATTAACAGTAGAAAAACATTTTTCTCGTGTGTGGGCCTCACATGTGGGTTCTTACAAGACAATGTATTTGAGGAACAATGAGTTTAAAAATAGTTCATATGAAGAGAAAAGGCCACAGAGGTAAGGTAAGGGAAAAGGGAGGGAAAACACTGGGGAATGGAGGAACGGAAGGAGAAGAAAATGATTAGGGAGAAAATTAAGTGCAAACGGGGATTTAGTAGTGGAGGCAAAATTAAAATACAAAACATACTAAGAGGGGAAAAAAACAAGCAAATGGAGAGTTTAAGACTATTTTCATTATCTTTTACTACCAAACAAATCCTAACAAAACATTCAGAATATATTGTAGTATGTAATTAAATCCTGGAAAAGTAAACCTACTAAAATCTTTCTTCAAAATAAATTCATACGCTGTCCATTCAAAACTTTCACACATTGTCACACTTGAGCACATTCTATTTCTTTCTTGTTCATCTTTTTTAATGATCAGAAAGTCACTAATAAACAATGATAGTTTAAAAAAATTATATAACTAAATACAAGAAATTTTCCACATTGTACTTTTATTATTATTATTATTATTATTATTATTATTATTATTATTATTATTATTATTATTATTATCATTATTATTATTATTTTGTGAATTGTGAAAGCTCTTTACACCTCTACAAAAATGTGACATGTAATTTCAAGGGTAACTCATACAACTAATCAAATTATAAAAGGATAAATTCTTTAATATGACAATATTAGATTTCACTGTACGAAAATATGGACAAAAATTTTACAGTGGTAATACGTTTTTACTTTGCAAAATTAATGCTAAATGTGAGTATAGATGTAAGTATACCTAATGCAAGTTTTACATCTAAATCAAGATAATCATTTGAAAACAAATGGAATACACACAATTGAAAAAGATAATGATGTATAATACTTCAATATTTGGCTGTGAATGAGAAGAAAATTGATAGATTTTTTGTCTGAGAGTGATTTGCATTTATTCTCCTTCCTTACCAGTAAGATTGCAAGAAATACTTTAAGTACATCAACTATTTTTTTGTAGCACATTTCTGCCAAAATTTTCTAAAATAATGACCTACACATTCCATAAATTATCACTAAACCATTCACTACACTTCGAGGAAACCTGGAAAACTATAGAATCAGTGCATCAGAAAATAAAGGATTCAAAAATAATACATGCAATAGAAATATAAAATTGGAAAATGTTTTTCTGCTACTATAACAATGTTCATAAAATCAATGTATTCCAGAAATTCTCAACCACTTTATGCACTTTAAAAATATGAAAAGTCAAAAATGTAAATAACGTATTTCAAATTATAATAATAAAATTTGCAAACTACTCTTGGCAAATATTATTCCACAGGTTTTCATCAAACATATCATCTTAAATAATCATACAAGCAAGAAACAGACTTCTTGAACTCCCATTCATGTAGGATTTATGAAATTGCTACAAATTACTATTCCCTGAACAACTGTCATGACAAATAAGATAGATTGTTTTGATCTCTCTAATCAAATGAATAGGCTCTCAAATCAAATAAATATATTATTAAATGGGGGGGGAAACTAATTATTTCAGGGTTAACAACTCATAGCCATTGTGAAATCATTTCTCTCATATAAAAATCCCTAGTAGGCACATTAATATCATAGAGTGTTAGGTTAAATTTAATTTTTAAAATGTAAAGGGTTCCAGGAAACAATCAAAGGAACGAATGACAATGTCGTAACACGCCTCTAGTGAACCTGCCAAATCTTAACACTATGACATATAACGTTCGTTTTTGCAAATGAACACTTACCACAATGAGCTCTATAACACTTCCTCTTTGATTATGCCTTATAAATCCATCAGTTTGTACAAATATCTTATCCACAGTCACTAAACGTGCTTCCGCTACAAAATTCACAACAGTACACACCAGTACACACAGAACCACAAAACATACTCGTCTGCTGCCATCTATAACACACAGCTGGTACTACTGAGTTTTTCAATACAACCAACATATGCGAAAGAACGCAATGACCAGCAATGCTTTTTGGTTTGCCTATATAAGATTATTCTTACAAACACTTTTTTAGATTCTTTAATTGGTCAAGTCACGAGAAAATCATATTACATTTCCTAATAAATAAGGCAAATACTACAATTAAAAACCTTATTTGTATGATACATAACCAAGAATAAAATGTTAAAACAATGTAGTAATACAGTCCTGACAATGTCAACTTGACAGTCAAGTTGTCATAGTTTCGTTATGTGGGCTAGAGACTCTCTAGTAGAGAGTATTATGGTGTGGGCAGCAATATACTCTCTAGTGGGCAGTGGCAGAGTGAGTGTGAAAGAATGTAAAATGCTCGCGAGTAGTACATGAACAATATTGAGACAGTGTGTTGATCGTGTAGAAATACCACTTAATGCCAATATGTTCAAAATACATAATTAAATAAATAAGGTTACTAGTAATCGTTTAATGAACATATCAATATTCATGAACTCTTCTAAGTATGTAATTTTGGGTACAAGAAATTTCACCAAGTACATATTTGTACACAGAATTAGCGAACATATTGACGTTTGCCGATATTCAGAATTGAAAGTTCACGGAGAGCGTGAGAGGACACGTGTTTACAACAATACTTTTCGATAGTAATGCACTGTTTTGCACAGAGAAACATTTCATGGCATGCAGATGGCAGCACTTGTAGAGAAGACAACCACTTGTCTCGGGGAAAAAAATGATTTTACGTGTGTAGGCCTAATTGAAGAACAGAAGGTTACAACAAGTGTTAAATTTACCTGTTGCTGTGATAATTTCGTTTGAAAGTAAACGTTTTGCGCGCTTCGTTTAACATTAGTGTCAGTTTTGTTGTGTTGTGTTTTAGTTGCTGTATTTTACTCCTGATTTTCGTGGATCAACGACGTTGAAGGATGCCTCTAGATTGGCTTTTTGGAAGTAAAAAGAAGTCTGAACCAGATCCGACACCTCATCATGAAGATAAGGCAAATACTAGTGGCGATGAGTTCGTGGTTTTGGAAGCGGACCAGACCTTGCTAAGTCGCGGCGATGGCAGTGGAATGTATCCTCAATTACCCTATGCTCTAGCTCCGAAATCTCAAACTAATCCCGAAAGCCATACAACACACTCATCCAGTGCTTCAACTCACGAAGTAACAACAGCTCTTGGATTCCTGAGCGGAGTACCCTTCAAATTGACATCTACAGACACCTTCGAAGGTATAGATTCAGCAACTGCCCACCACATAAGAGCAAGTCAATTCATCACATACATAAGCGAAAGTATTACCAATGAAAGATTTTCATATGATTTTCAGGTAGAGAAAAGTGTTTTGCATGAAGCTGGGTGTAGGGATTTGGGGTAATGATGTATAAAATTGAGACCATTGTGCAAACATTAAATGAGCTTGTAAACTGTTTTTGGCACGTTTTGTGTACATAGTTTCCAAGATGCAGTCTTTAAATCAAAACTCTTTAACTCATTACCACAAATGCATTGCTTATATGTTAATATTAATGTGTTGGAAGATAAGTTTTACATGTTTTTACTTTTAATTGAAACAACAAATATATATTTTAATGTAACATTTGCTTTAATAAAAATGCAGCTAAAGAAAGTCTGTTGTAATCTGGGTGCTCTCTATTGTAGCTTATTAAAGCTTTAACACTGTACTGATTAAAAGAAATGGTTAGAAATAAATAAATATACTATATGAAATGTTTTAATGGAAAACATATTTACATAAAGATATTCACAATGACTTTGAAGAAAAATAAATTAATGTTTGGTTAGTTCATGAGATGTAGTGTCCAATCAAGTACATGATCACAGCTACAGTCACAAGAATGAAAAATGGCAGCCACGATTTTAACCATGCCCATACACTGAAACAAAAATATTCAATAGTTCCTTTTCAGAATAGAATCCTGACAACACAGTTATGGGTAGGTCAACTGAATATTTACACCAAAGTACATGTTGATGTGAACATGAATGCAGTATATGTTCAAATAATATAATTGGATCATTCACTTCATCAAAACTCGTACAACAAAATAACAGGTAAGGGTTAAGAGAGAATAAAAAAAAAATTCTTATTACATTACTAAATTCACATCATTAACTCAAGAGTAGTTGACCTTACCTCACATATTTCCCTTTAAATGCAATCCAAAATGCAAGCTTCACCATGTTCCAACTAGAATTTTTGTAATTCATCTTATTTAATGACATTGCCACATGTGAATGGCAGTTATCACAACATAGATTATGCTGAAAATAAATGAAATGGATAGTTAAACAAACTGTTGTTTAGTTTCACTGAACACTTAATTCACTCAACTTTACTGCACTGAAAATGTTTACCATTCTTCCTTTGTACACTTCTGATGCATCAGTAACTGCTGTATCCCATCCTCGTACTCCATTTCGAGCATTTGAAGGGTCCAACTGTAAGTATTTAGTAGGCCATCCAAAAGCCATATTGTCTTCTGACACATAATAGGGACCGGCAAAGTCTCTTATTACCCCTGAAGACATAGCTATTCCCATATGACCAATGAGGGGACATAACCATCTTCATGTTGAAAAACACAAATTAGTAATAATATATTTTAAAATTTAACATAACTAAAGAGATATTAATAAATACATACGTCAAAAAAGGTATTGGGGTCCACACAATGCAAAACGGGTATCTGTGAATATGAGGATCGATTGGGGGTGACTTATCAATCATGTCAATGTGATTTGACGCTATTCCTGAATCATCACTCATTCCATTAAATACTCTGTAGAGAAAATAAAAATTCTTAATGACATTAGAAAACAAAAGATCGTTCAGGATATATAACATTAATATATTTTTCGAAATACATGGTTTATTTTTCCAACGTTAAATTAATTGGACAATAAGTTCCCTCGTTCGCGGGAAAAATCCAAAGCGCCCTCCGTTAAAATTAAGTTGCATGTTCAAAATTGAAATTACTTTATTTACTGAGTCACTAAATTACAGCCCATCACATTTAGTCATACTTCCCTATAATTTCATTTTCTGTATGAAATTCCAATTAGGAAATCAGTCCTAACCTAAGGAACTGGATTATTTTCCACCCACTACAAAAAAATCTTTCGTATTATCAGATATTCGTAAACGTCAATCCATACACAACTCTTAAACTTCACAGCAGCACCTGCAACCATCCAACGTCACCTGGACACTTTTTAGTTCCTTTCGATTGACACCATGATGTAAGAAACAAGATGTCGCATCTTGACGGTGATGATGACAACTAGACACCGGCGCCAAAATCAAATGTTTTGAATACGGAAGACGGAACAAAGATTCTAACACATATGTAAAATGATAAAATATATTAAAATCAGTTAACAAAAAACAAGTAAAATTTACTAACGTTCAAATACCAAATTTTACTTAATCCAGAATCATGAATTTGAAAGTTCATGTTTTGAATAACTATAGATGAGATGTTTACTCAACAAAAATATAGATAGTAAAGCCAAGTACAAAGGAACGGAATTGGCATGAGTAAGAGTTCTAATACTGATTAGAACCGTTTGCTCGCGAGCAAACTCTCTTACCAAGTAACGATATTTATAAAACTATTGTTGTCGGAACTACAAAGGTTTTTTGGCGCTGCGATCTTACAGTACCATCAGCGTGTAAGCGACTCTGACAGTTCTTTCACCACGTGTTGTGGTACGTTATGTGACCTGCTCTGAAACAATCAGCTTGCGAGGATTTATTTACTTTCTCACAGCCAGCGTTCAGCGTTGCCGCTCATCAGACACACACAAAGTCGCGGAAATGACGTTCGGTTCTGGCGAAGGTTATGAACATATCAAGACGTGTCGTCGCTTGTCAGCAAGTGTTAATGTTTAGAGATTTAATTTATCTGTCATGCAGGTGGTGCCAGTGAGCGTAGTAATGAGTGCGCAGCATAGAGAAGAGATATATATCTACTCTATGGTGCGCAGCAACAGCGCAACGAATTATCAGTCGTTTAAACCGCTGCCGGTACTGTGGTGAGTACTATGCCGGGAAGGAAACCAACGCCACCTAAATAGGTGTGTGTAGGGAGCGTTGATTAAACTCCATAATCCAAAGGCAATTTTCGCTCCATATGCCGTAATTTTCTTTCAAGAGAAAGGCAACACAGAACTTATTTACTTATTAAATTTGAAGAACTTCAAGTGAATACGAAGAAAACAAAATTGTGATTAATGCTAGAGAATGAATGTAAGTTGTTTTGTTACATTTATGTTCATAACTGTGCAAATACCGAATTTCAAATGAATGTGACCCACAACTTAATCTTATTAAACTCAACTAACACCTTTTTTCACATAAACATACAAAACAGTCGCATTTTAATGTTTATATAGATTCGCATACAAAACAATTAATATAGCAATTGAAAAAGTAGAAGTGAACTCAAATTAGACTGAATTTGTGGAGTTTTAATCTCTTGAAAATTAGGGGAGAAAATGGAAGTGTTAAGAAAATCTAAGGACGAATCAAATGTGGTTGTAAAAGATTTTGCGACAGAATATTTGGAACTAATTGAGAATGATCTTACATAAGTATCGGAGAATAACGCAGAAGAATAGGTTACCTGTGATCATTTATGTCCATTTTGCGCATATTAGCAAAAAAGCAAACAAAAGTATCTGTACTAAATTCTAACTATTCGAATCATCCATATCTGCAAACATTTTTTAGGACAATTATTGAATTGGGGTTGGGAATTTTTGGATTGGAGTAGTATAACGTCACCTATAACGATTTATTGGTAAATCTAATGGCAGATATTGTAATAGCATATCTGAACAAGCTACGCATGCGCTAATTTACATTATGTCATATAGTACAATTCAATAAAATCTGTCTAACCGTAATCGATCGGAACAAAAGTTCTGGTTTAGGGAGGTTTCCGTTTTATGCAGGGCTGTCAATTCAACGACACTTGTGATATTTCCGTTCTGAAACAAGTAAATTAACGGAAGTAAAAAGTAATGAAAGTAAAGTAAACATTGCATGATTTTATTATAATTATTGAAAAACATTTACATATAACGTATTTATGGACGAAATCACCAATTAATGGTTATGAAACATTCGTCATTGGCAGCTTCTGAGTTTCTCTTGCGTCCATAAGTTTGACTTTAACTTAATCTAATGTTATAGAATGTTTTATGGTTTTCGCATTGTTAAAGTGATTGTGAAACTCATAGAAATACACATTACCTCACTACCCAATGGCTGAAATCGGATTGATTGCTGACTTTCAACACACAATGCGTCTCAGTCGAAAGTACTATGGTTTTCTGATACCCTCGCATGGTCTTGAGCAATACGTCTCCGGCTGAGAGTTTGAACGTGGGGCAGGGATAGGCGCGAATATAAGCCATGCTTCTACTCCTTCCCATGCTAATAACGGAGGGGAAGCTTGAGAGACAAGTGACCCCAAGATCGAATTCTACGCTGTCACCTGAAGCCCCTCTCCTTCACAGTGCGGTTGCCACGGCAATCGCAATACATTCTCAGGAATTCTGTTTTGTAATGATTTCCTCCTATATGACAAGAGAAACCGTTCCGTTTCCGCATTGGACAGATTCCGTTTAAAATACCATATAACTTCACTGGTCAGAGATTTTTCCGGTTAAGGCAGGATTCCGGCCTGTACAAGTTCTGGTTTAGAGAGATTTTACTGTATTATGTAATTAATAGATAAAAAACAATGTTAATTTGCTGGTCCGTTCGTACTTAATACGTCGCCGTACCGTTATCCGATTACGATAAAACTTGGTCAACTTATTGGTTGCACTTGTGGGAAGAATAAAGGCATAGTGTGAAGGGAATGTGCATATGCCTGCGCACGTAGACGCGCGTTGATGATGATTTTACTCTGACTTAAGCGCCCCTGATGTTCTCAACGCAACGGCGCACTACAACCCGCAGCACTCTGAATTATTAAGTGTCTGTTCCTGCGATTGTGAAATAACACCCGGGAGAGACAAGAGGCAGAGAGAGAAACAAACAGAAGGACAAAAAGAGGAAAAGAAAGGAGACAGAGACGGAAGGAGAAAGAGAGATGGAGGGAAGGGCATCTGCCAGGTTCCGTTAGTATTATATATTAATAAATCTTGGTCCTAAATATAGTAAATTACTTCCTCTGCCTGGGTTCTTGATACCGAAAAATCGATCGATCGATTGATTGATTAGTGTTTCCGCGTCAACTGCTAAGTTCATAAGTCTGAATCTAAATATCTAGCTAGTGATTTTTTCCATCCATTAACAGTGTTAATCTATGGTTTAACCGTGACAACACCGTGAAATTCGATATGTTGTAAGCAAAATACATTAAATAACTGGAATTATCCCTCAAAATACCTTATAAATTACTTTTACCTTAAAATAAATTCTCCGAGTCTCATCCAGTCATATTTTGACTATCAAGGTGATGCATCTGATCGTTTATATTGCGGTGCAGATAGACATTTGAACCTGATACAGGCCCACATTACTTAATTTTTTAACGGCACATAAACAATGGGTGTCAAAGTATTTGAACACCTTGAAAATCTGATATGTATAAATTTTACATAGAAAAAAGTAATATGAATGACAAATTTTCAGCGAAATTAAATACATTATATGTAGTAAAGTTGCTACAATAAAAAAAACACCGAAAACAAAGTACTGGAAATTGAGAAAGATAGATATAAAAGCAAATATCTCATAGAAAAAATCATTAGTATTGGAACATGCAAACTCTCAAATACTGTAATGGCTTTCCTGGAAGTCACTGCTGCTACAGCCGTCTGTGGATTGACCTTCACCTGGTCAGTCGGGACTCACCTGTCACCTGTGGAATCAGAGAAAAGCAGCAGATGTAGACTGCTTGAGAGGTTCCGGTGGAAGTAAAGCATGTTACAGATGTGGCAAAACCGGACATGGTATCAAGGATTGAACTGGTAAACTGCAGTGTGTTATAAAACAACGAGGAAAAGTAAGACTATAAAAATCTGTTAGGAAGTAATAAATGTACCTCCTTCATGTTGGCGATCAATCAAGCCAAAAAGAGAACGTATGCTCCGATTCCTACAAGTTAATTTGGGTAGCAGTAAACATGCGTCGGAGTTGATGCTGCAGGACGCCGCTGAAAGGGAGGTGGACGTGCGCGTCCTCACTGCACGTGGCATCAGGATGCTTCTGGAAGAGCCGGCATAATAATGCATAACAAGAAGCTGAGTGTCATGAAACACAAGAGAGCGAAAAACGGGTTTGTATGACTGAAAGTGGGCAATATGAGGATTTATAGCTGCTATTTCTCACCGAACGATACGCTAGAAAAAAAATTAGAAAGATATCGATGAACTGGAGGCCGGTTTGAAAACGTCTAAAAGCAAGGTATTAGTGGCAGGCGATTTCAATGGATAGTCGTCCGAATGGGGAGAGATGCGCTCCGATAGAAGAGGAATTTTCATATGTGAATTCATTGAAAGAAATGATCTGATCGTTCTAAATACTGGGGAAGAGTACATCTTTCAACGTGGAAACGCATTGTCTATTTTGGATTTGACAATAAGCTCCATGAAGCTAGCTAAAGGCATTGCTGATTGGTCAGTGTTCGGCGAAGAAACCCTGAGTGATAATCGGTTCATAGGATATTTGGCTCCATTAACGGTGGGTCCGCAACATGTCAAAATGCGACATAAAGAAGGACCCCCTCGGAATCCTAAAAAAATGAATGAAGGCAATGCAAAACGCTCCTTGGAAGAATCCAGGTTGTTTGTTAACATTGGTTGGACGAAAGAGGCGGAAACGCTTGAGAATATGGTTAAGGCAACGGAGGAAATAGTGGTAGCAGTTTGCGACGCATCCATGCCTAAACGTAGATGACCGAGGATAAAACAGCAAATGTATTGGTGGATACCAGAAATAGCTGAACTGCGAACGAACTATATTAAGGCAAGAAGAATAGCGACAAGGGCAAAAACGAATTGCGAAAAGCAAACCTTGGGGAACAATAAAAGAAGAAGAACTTAAAAGAGAAATAAAAAGAAGTAAAGGCAGATGCTGGAAGGTGCTCCTAGAACAGATCGATAACGACCCAAGGGGCATGACTTATGAAATAGTAAATACGAAATTCGGGATGGATTGGAAGATACCTGGTTTGAAAGACCTACAATGGCCTTGGAAAGCTATTAGAGACCTCTTTCCTATTAGAAATCCCTGGACGAGATAAAGACATAGCGACTACTTCACGATTGACGCAGAAGACTACTTCACTATAGACGAACTGAGGAGACCGGCGAAAAGCATGAAAACTGCGAAGGCTCCAAATTTCGATGGAGTTTCCAGTGAAATACTAAAAATGGTGGCACAGGAGTATCCGGAATGCCTCCTGTCAATCTAAAACCACTTACTTCATGGGAAATTCTTCAAGACGTGGAAGAGGCAAAAGCTGATACTCCTCCGAAAGGGCAACAAGCCGGTAGATCAGACATCGTCATACAGCCCACTGTGCCTCCTTGATACCATGGTCAAGCTGCTTGAGGGTTTAATAATTTCTAGGCTTTAGGGACTCATATATTTTTCCCACTGGCAATATGGATTCCGGAGAGGCCGCTTGACGATGGATGTTATCCTGAAAGTAGTCCATAAAGCAGACGCAGCGAGAAGAGGAGTTGGTAAGAAGGGATTAGCGCGCTCGTGGCAAGTGACATTAGAAACGCCTTCAACTCCGCCAGGTAGAAGTACATTATAGAAGTATTGGTTAACAAGACGATATCTCATAAGTATTATTGAAGACTACCTCCATGAAAGGACGATAACGTATGTGGATAGTATCAAGATAGAAGAAAATGTGACGTGCGGTGTCCCTAAAGGTTTCAGACTTGGGCAATTTTTATGGAATGTCCTGTTTGATAACATTCTAAACATTGACCTGCCGAAAAATACGCAGCTCATAGACTATGCTGATGATACGATAAAAATACGCCACAGCGACAACATTAAACTCCTCGAATTCAGAGTGAATGAAACGCTCTTTAAGGTTCAAAGATGGTTAGATAGACGACAGCTACAGATGTCAGTGCAAAAAACCGAAGCTGTCCTAATCACCGAACGGATGGCCTTTCAGTAACCAGACCTCCAATTGGGAGGGGAGAGAATGAACTAGAGGCGCCAGATAAGATATTTAGGAGTCGAAATAGATTATAGACTCAGCTTCGGGCCCCACATACATGTGATGGCACATTTGATGGACAGGAGCTAACATCACAAGAATGCTACGTGATATCGTCATTTTTCAGCTAAAAGCTGATAAGGGGTTACCAAGTGGCTACTATTCTGAAGTTGATTTTGAATTAGTTCAATTACTGTCCGCTAGAAGGTGAATCTTTGGTACAATCTCTAACAAGTTTTACAGAACTACGAAACTTAAAAGTGCAATTTCTGAGAAATCAGAAATTCGCACTTGTGTCACTTTTCTATTGGAGGTGCGACATGTGTAATATGGAGAAGTATCCCCCGCCATGACAGTTAATCAGCCATACTTCGAACAGGGTAGAAGCTCCCGTTTCCATATCATGGCTTCTCATGGTTCACATCCGTGTAATTATATAATAAAATAAATTAACAAAACGCAAAGCACGGAACGTTCTCAAACACAGCTCGACACCTTACTGCACAGTAACAGGAAACACTTGCACCAGTACACATCTCACATTCAAGACCCGGTTTTCAAATAAACATTATACTTATCACACAAAAAGTAAATTGAATGTAATGTTTGTAAAAAAATAATTTTTACAGAAGAGAACAGTAGCACTGCACGTCCTCATTTCAATTATTTATCGTAGCAAACTATATTTTCGTCGAGCGAGGACATTGTAAAAGGAAGCGTCGAAGCCATTTACAAGTTAGCCAACTGCAAGCGAACGAATGAAAGGAGAGCCAAATGGGCTGAAGGTCATAAAAACCACACAACCTTCAGTTGTTGCCAGCTCTAGCTGCCAAATGGTCCACTTACCAAAATCACTATATAATAGGGAGTTTTAGCGCCAGGCGTAAGGAGATATCCTTAAACTCTATTGATCACGTGACTAACGCCTTCATAAGGTGGTAATGAACAACGTTCATAAGAGTTTTAGCAATTGCGACATTGCGTTATGCATTATAACAAAGGAAGCATTTCAAGCGTTGAACAGAGAAATTGCATAATATATCAGAGTGTAGGCTGGTGGTGAGACATTTAAAACACGTTACGAGTCAACAACCAGCAAATACAATTTATGCATGGAGTTTTAGATTTTGGATCTGATTTTCTTGAAAATATAGGAAGTACCTTAAAACAGCGTTCGTTATGAGCATAAGACATAACCTATCCCGAAGATATGATTTTAACATCTTTTTCGCGAATTTCTTTCCTGTCATCTCTCCAACATATCCCGTTAATTTTTGCCAGCGTTGTGGAGTTCGTAAGGAATAATTGTAACTGTCTTACATTAGAGAATTGGTTTATTAGAGTTGAAAAAAACTTTTCCTGTTTTTAGACGGCCATTTTGCCTGCTTCTAAAAGTGAACGTAGAGACTCCCAAAGGTGTGCACTATTTATGAAGGGATAAGGTCGTACCTTAGGCCTAAGGTACGTCACGGTCTGTCACGTGAATGTTAGTGCATATCGCCGCTACCTTACGCGTGGCGCTAAAACTCCCGAATAGAGAAGGCAACTCTTGAACAAGTGAATGTCACACTCCGCATACAACGAGCAGATTGCTAGAATACCCAAATCTACTTTAAGGCAATTGAAAAAATTCAGTTAATCTTAAAAATTCGAAATTCGGGGGGAGGGGTGGGATATAGTTACTCCTACATATGCCAACAAGAATTCAATAACGGTAAAAGTGATAGGAAATGTTCTTTTGTATTTAACATGTATTTTCTGTTTGTTTTTGGGCGTCGGGAATACATTGAAATTGAATTAACACTATTTCTAATGTGAAATATTGCTTACATTTTCCTACATTATATTTTTAACATATTTTTGAACTGATTAATTGTGAAATCTGAGATTCTAACGGCAATTTCTATTATGCAGGAATAAATATTTTGCACTATCAGATGTTGCCAAAAATGCTTCTTGTTACCCTTATAATTCAATTAAGTATACTAAAAGAGAGGGGATATTGATCTGGAGGACAAGAATACTTGCACAGCATGTTTTTCTCCCCCATATTTCACACTAAAAAATAAATGCTAATGAATACTGATGAAATTGGAATAAGCTGTATCATGAAATAATATTAAGAACAAGTGTACTTATTCCAATTTAATGAAAACAGATTAAAAGAAAAATGCCATACTATTTGAAAGTTTGATTTATAATAAGCAAATATACATACATAATTTAAGTGACAAGTTTCTGTTATTTACAAATACATTACACTTGGTGTGACAGTATAGAAGGAACTTTACTCGCAGCATCCAGTGACAGGCAACGACAAGTGCAAGCAGTAACTGGACATTCTGAGTGTTCCCTAAACCAATGGGCCATATGTGCAGCATGACCACCATGTCTGCAAGACTGGCACCAAGTAAACCAGGACGAAAACTCAGCCAGTTTGTTGTTGCATCCTCCTCTGCCACTGCTGTTTGTATTATTATTGTTCTGAAGACCAGATGGAGTTCCCATATTGACGAGGCATATAGCACAACGTGGTAAAGGTTTCCGACATTGAGGACATGAAGACATCTGTTTTGCAAAAATATTATTCATCACCCATTAAATTACATACGAACTTCTTCATACAGAAAATCATATTTTTAACCTGGCAAAGAATCTGATTCCTAATTGATTACAAGTTTGTATAATAAGTTATAAGTGTTGCATCAAATAATGTGTGAATTCTCAGAATAATTATTACAAATTTATAATTGAAAATATAAATATATCTTTATCTACAAGTAGTGGTGCTACAACAAAAATATTTTATCACATTATTTGTGACGGCTGTGAAATAATATAATACTAACTGAACCTGCAAAAGTATTTCCAAACCATGAACATTTACACAGGCTGGGATTTAAACTTTAGCACATACGATCAGTTATTAATAAACCTATCTCTTGCACCTCCAGTGCTGGTTAAGTATGCCGACACAGAATGCATAACAAAAAATTGATAATTTGTAATTTTTGTACGTTTGGAGTATTTAATAATAATCAGCCTTAATTAAACTTTGCTCTATTTGAGCATAAATTTAAAGAAACAAATGAGAGGTTTTTGAGATAATTTTGTTCGCGTATTTTTTTAAATCATGATTTCACTTAACATTACTCAAAAACTACTCATTTTCAAAGAAATAGTCAAGTTCTTTGAAATCTTAATAATGGACAGATTTTAGTGCAACTGACTGAACATTAAACATCTGCACGTTTTCCTGCAGCACTCAACACACTAACCACACTAAATGTAGGAGAAAGAAAAAATACAGAAATAGAATCAATCCTTTGCAGTTGTCTTTGGTAAATTATTTTTTGCAGTTTAGTAAAATGTGCACTACAGGACTTATTTTAATACCAATTTTCAAAATACTCTCATCAAAGTTTTCTCTAGTTTATACAGATTTTGGACTTGCAAAGCTTAAAATATATTAATGAATATTTTACCTTCAGTTTCTGTGAACTTGCTCCCAATCGAACATAACTGCCTCTTCCTTTACTATGGCCTTGCATCTGAGCTGAGATACTCTTTCCACAGAAATTGCAAGAGATAAAGACCTGTTGTGGAGGTTTTTCACTGGCAGTGCACATACTCAGGAGAATATCAAATTGAGCTCTTTGATTCCACAGATGCCATGAATCTAGAAGCATGCAGTAACTAAAAAAAAAACAGCAGTATTATCAAAATATACATTAAAAACATTTTCTCATGAAGGTGAAAGCAAAGCATTATCTTGGAAAACAAACAGGGAAAAAGGCCAATTTTCATTTCATTCAATTATTGACTTGATAGTGAAAGATAGAATTAATGTGTTTATGATTTTTTCTCTTGAGAGGTTTGAGTAATTTCTTTAATTGTGAAAATCTTCTTTCACCAAGCATCCTTAGAGGGCCTGTTTATAATATAAATTATTGATCTTGACCTTTGGTCTATTAGGAAATGATTCTACATATTCTACTGCAGATAAAAATGAGTGGGAAGTTATTGCACGAGGAGGATACAAGAAATAAACAATCAAAGTCAATCGAAAGCTTATTCTTAGATTTTATTGCCATTTTTTTATTTTTTTTGAGGGGTGACATAAGTTCACTATATCTGAATTGTTGTTCACCTATAATTGGAGTCAATTGTATCATTAAAATATATTTAATAAAAATTATTAACATACCTTGTGATCCACATCTGTACAGTTGTACCTTCAATTACTTCAGAGGGAAACATTCTAATTGCTATTACACAGACACTTTGTATATCTCCTGTTGCCTCTAAATAGCTCTGTAGTAACAGAACACTGTCATTGCTATTACCTATAGCAAATAATACTGCCATTTTATTACTCTTCTTACACTCATACACTTTTAAAAAAGATAATAACAGCAGTGAAAAGCTTTTATATCATTACGCTGCATACCTGTCAATAAGATTCCAGCCAAGTCTCCTTCAGCAATTAAGTTCATCATCAACTGATGTACATACTCATTCAATTTCGCATCAGACAAAAACATACAGGCAAATGCCACACGATCTTCCACAGCTACACCGTTTTCATTCTGTAACAAATAAATCATGTACACAACAGTATTACACTTGTTAAACTGTGCAATAAAATGCAAATATCTTACCAAAACATTGTCAAAATTGTCATCATCTGCAGTGAGAAATGCAAACATGGCACGTAGATAAGGATCCACCAACTGAGATCGTGAAGTAAGACACAATTCCCTCCACATGCTTGACTTGTCGTCAGAGAATCCTAAAAAAAACAAAACAAAAACTTCATTGGATAAAATTAAACACAGCTCCTTGTATGTCATTCACAAAAAGACATATCCAAAATAATGGAATTCTTCACACAACAAATGCAATAGAATGAGAAGTGGGTAATGTATCCAACAATAATTCTTTGGTTACAATCCAGAGGTTGGGAGGTGGTTTCTTAAATGTAATTTTTTGCTCTTAAATAAGTTTTAAAAGAAATGAGCCTCTTCAAAGAAACAGTCAATGAATTTTATTTATGATTTCTTTCATGTACCTGAGACAGCCATAGCTACAATGTTCAAATTAGAAGTTATGGAGGCTGTTTTTTCCTGTGCGGCTGCACCACGATTCAGAATTGACACAGCTAATCTCAATTTCAGATTGAAAACGGCAATTGCAGCAGCTCGAGAGAAAGATCCTTCAGACTCCAGTTGGCTCAAGAATGAAGTAAGTGCATTTGGTTCCCTGTCTACCTTCCAGCCACATAGTAATAAGGCCTTATCTCGATCCTCACTCCTGAACAAAGACAACGTATTGTTCAGAATTATTCACAGATGGATGGGGAAAAAAAATATCTAGCCAATATAAACAGCAAAGAACAAAATCAAGCTGAAAGAGTCAGGAAGTTAGTAAAATTATGAGGTAGTGAGGTGATAATATAAACCAATGATAATGATTTATTCATTTTAATTCCATAAAAATTATTTTAAAAGATTTTGCTTAGAAATATATATTGCTGTTGTATTTAATAATCAATTTACTTGTATATTTTTGCCATAGAACCATTTCCATTACACAAGTCAGCCCAAGGAATGGTATTCAATTCTGATTTAAGACTTGCTGCACCATTTTGAAAGTTACCATCCATCCTTAAAACATGCCTAGAATAAAAAAAGGTAAGGAAGACATGTAGTATATGTCAATAATATAATGTTTCCATTACGAATAACATACTGTACACAATAAAAAGATCTTTTTAATTACAAACAGAGATGGTTTTTATAAACATTTCTACAATAAGTTAATTTTCTTTTCTTACAGTCTGAAATAAAGTAGTATTGCTTTATCGAGCAATAGTAATGTTCATGAATATTTTTACTTACCTTACTCCAGGATATTTGCATATAGGGCCTCGTGAACTGTTAGAGTCCTCAGATAGACTCTGGCTCACAGTCAACCACTTCCATACTCTCTTCAGCACTACATCTTCAGAAATATCTCCATTTTCTGAAAACTCGGCCTGAAACAGTTTTAAAAATTTGATTTTATTTGTTGCTGGGGCAAAAATGCTGGCAAGTTTGTTTAGCTTTAAAAATGTTTATCTTCATACACACATTAATAAACATATTTATTAAAATTTGCAATGTGGAGGCAATCTTCATGATGGAGCAAATAATTAAGAGATGAAGTGAGCAAAATCTACCACCATCTATTATTTGTAGATTATGAAAAAGCATACGACAAGGTGGATGGGAAGAAACTATGGGGTATACTAAACGAAGGATTGGACAATCACCTCATAAAAGTAATAAAAAGCCTATAACTAGAAGCAAAGGTTAAAGTATAAAACATGGATGGAAGCATCTCCAAAGCAATATCTACAAACATAGGACTACAATATGGATGCACACTGTCCGCCCAGTTACTCAATACATATATGAAAACCAAATGATTAAAGAAAGGAAAAAACAAACACAAGGGAGAATAATGATGAGACAATATTATATGCTGATGACTAAGTGGTTCTCGCTACAACTGAAGATAAACCTTAAAAAGCAGTACACAAGACTAAATGGAATAGTAAAAGAATACAAAATGAAAATATCAATAAGAAAAACCAAGACAATGGGACTAGCAGGAAAATAGGTATTACTGCAGAGTAAAGACTGTAATAGATAATCAGATATCTGAACAATTAGCAACTTTCAAATATCTAGGCAACAAGATATTACTGAGAGAGGAAGATATTAAGACAAAACTGGCAAAATTTAACAATATCAATGGCTAACTAAACAGACACTTCCGAAACATGAACAAAGAAATAAAAATAAGAATCCACCCAGTAGTGGCAAAATCAACCTTATAATATGACAGTGAAACATGGAAACTCAAACAGAGAATAGAGGCAGCCCAAATCTAAGAGGCAGTACTACAAGAAACACAAAAAGAAAAAATAAGAAACAAAGAAATACAGAAAACACTAAAAACAGACTTAGTCCTCTGACATAGAGAAATATCAGGCAAAATGGCAAAAGCTCTCACATTGTTAATATTTACATTACTGGCGATTTGTATAAATTATTGCATTAGTACCAGAAGTGCTTCCAATAATTTTCAATCAAGTTTCTCAAAAACTAAAAAGGTTTCTGCAAAAATCAACAATGCACACTTTTAGAACTAATAAGGGAACTCTATCTGAATGAGATTTAACATTCACAAAAGTATTTTAAGTCATCCACAAAGAGAAAAAAATTTTAAAACTACGAAAGCTAATACACAAAAGAAGAGAAAGGAATAAACATCTTATCAATGTTTGTTTGTTGGTTGGTTGGTTTGTACTTAATGAGCTGTCATATCATTTGTCCAATTGCGATAAAACTTTGACAATTTATTGCATGCACTCATGCGAAGAATATAGGCATAGTACAATGGGAATGTACATACGCCAAGGCACATAGACGTGTGTTGATGATTTTATGCTGAGATTGAGATTTTGAATGACTTTTGTTACAACAGAAACTTATAAAAGAGCATTTATGAATATGTTGCTTTGGCTTTAGGAGGGAAGAGGGAAGGGGGAGGGGAGTTGAAGCCCGAAGAGCCCATCACCCTAGTTGTGCTACTGCACATAAGAGTAAATAAAAAACTGCAAAAGGGCATTTACATTCCTACACGAATATTTTCATGTAGATGTATACATGTTCCAATTAACAAAACAAGAATAAATATGTCTGCTTACTTTCAAGCCATATCCATTCAATGCTCTTCTTTTTATTTTCACAGATATATCTTCTGGTGCAATATATGAATCCTTGTCAGTAACATATCGTAAAGAACGTCTTCCATAGCTCCAAAGAATAGCTGAATTTGGTGAAGAATTCAATGTAATGCGCTCAAACACTACATAGTCTTTTATTGTTCCTGTAAAAATTCATTTTTACTAATAGTTTGTTATATTTATGTTGTAAACATTATTCCTTTCTTTTTTTTATCTTGAACATTTAAATCAGTGATATTTTGACATTATGTATAACTGGTACCTGTCAAAGATATTGTCAACATGCGATTTTCATTTGAAGGATGCCATGAGAAAGAAGTGATGTTACTAGAAGCACATGGTTGAATACAGCGTTCCAAAACAGAAGGTTCAACTTCATCATTGCTCATTATAGTATGACGAATGTCATGAAGATAAACTCCGCAGCTATCACGGACCAGAGAACCTAGTAGACTGTGTCTTTACAAAAAAGAAACCATGAAATAAGAATTCTGGCAAAGCAATTTCCAATTAAATTATACCTCCAGAAGCTGAAAAGAATTGCAAGATATATTTTCGATTGAATAATAAAACAAAATGAAACTTTACAGTGGTGGTACAGTATGGTACAGACTTTTTTGTATTTTCTTAACCTCTTATCTTCTTAGCCTAAGGTAGTTTCACCGATTTTCCCACCCTATTTCCCAGTTCCTATCTATCAGCACCTAAAAGAAATATTTTCACCTTTTTCAACTTTTCAGTCTCCTAAAAGTAGAACTGAAATACGACTTCAAGAATATTACAGAAGAGTAAAACTTGGCCTACATGCAAATTTTAGGCCTACATGCAAGTCTTATGAAAATTCACAATTTTGAGTTCATTTCCACAGAAAAATTGAATTTTTGAGAAACTTCATATGAAAATCTTTCAAGTGTATATATTCACCAGTCCAATAAGGTGTTAAAAATATGCCCATAATGTAAATATAAACATGAGAGATATTTCAAAAAAAGTAAATTTGTCATTTTCTTTTTATTGAAAGAATACATCAAAATGGTTTTTATGTCATGTTATTCAGTGCATGTAGCCCTATACATATACAAAATTTCAAGAAAAACCTTCGAGCATTTTTTGAGAAATTCTTGTTTTCAATATTAGTCATATTTCACTTAAAATGTGGTAAAAGTGACTAATAAAAAAAATGTGTGCAATATTAATTAAAGAACATAAATGTTATTTGAAGAAATAATTTTTATCTTGTGATGTACAAGGTGGTCCAAAAAATTCCAAACTTTTGCAATATTAAAAAGTTCAAGAGTAACAGTAAAAACCAAGTCTATGCCACCATTATCAGTGTACTTTCGTCTATTCTATATTCTTAAGAGATTTAAAGAAAATATTCGGAGCCACTTTTGAAAAAATTTGGAAATGTCCTAGAGGCTTCAAATGAATTACTCCTAAAAGTTTAAGGATTAGTTTCAAATTCATAGGGCCTAGTGTAAGGCCAGATTGGCCAGGGAACACGTGTTGAAAGAAATCCTACGAAGAGTAGCTAGTTGTCTTCACTGACCCAACACTTTTTTTGGCATTAGGGGACCCCAAAATGTGTATTTTCATCAAAATCTCAAAATTTATTTTCCGAAATGTTCTCTACACAACATATATTACTCTGTATAGACATACGCACATATCAAAGTAAAAAAAATCCCACAATTACAATCGTGAAATGTTTTAGATTCCTCAATTAATTTCATTAGAAGATTTGTTTTCTTTTGGCAATAAGAAACAACTGAAAAATCTCATTTATATATCAAACTTCTTACATGTGCACAAAATGGAACTTCAAATGCTCCTTAGCAAATTATGAAGAGACATAATACAATGAATAAGAGAATTCAGTACCTTGTTGGGCACCACAATACTTTTGTAACTGGTTTTCCCTGAGTTACAGTAAGAACAGGTTTTTCAAAATTGCGTGTATCCCAAATAGATATTTGATTTTCATAATACGATGCCAATTGACAGTCGTTGTGAGGATCAACAGCAAGCCCATATACAGCTTTTGTAGGAGTTGAACATACAGTCCTTGATGTGTCTGAGAATAAAACAATATTAATGTTTACATTAATAAAAAATTAAAAGAAGCAAAATAAATTAAAATACAGCACTTCTAGAAAACACAATTGTATACATTTTTTAAACAACTCTGCTCTTCAGTTCATAAATGTAAATGAGGAATGTGCTTCTGAATTTTCAATTAATATTGTCACAAGTTCATGCTAATTAAACAATGAAGTAACAAGTAATATTAGCTGAAATGTAGTATACAATACAACCTAAGTTGTTTAAATTGCCACTTTGCGCTGTTCCTGTGTTAACTAGACAGAATTCTGGAGGCTTTCTTGAAAAGTGCTTTCTTATAAAAGTGAATTGGTAATTATGCGTTGGATAGACTCAAGGATGTTTATAGTGAACACGAGGGCCGAAGGCCCTAGCTTCGCCGTGACTTGGATCCAGGCGAGTGAAGCAAGAAAACTTGCCTTTGAAAGTAAATTGGCAATACAATGCGGCAGGGACAAAGCAAATAAAGGGCGAACCATGAAAATCTCCTACTCGTAAGTTTTACTCATTTCTATTAGAGCACGTACAGTAATTAGGGCTAACAGTAAATAAGCCCCGCCGCCACGTTTCTCTAAGGGTTTACCGTATACTAAACTTTAACCATAATATTTTCAATAATTATATTCATATTAAAACAAAACATAATTTATTGGAAGAAATACCTCGAAGATCAATCATCCTTAAATGCTTGTTGTTCATCCCAACAATAATACTTCTTGGTTGGAAATTGAACCATGCTAAAGAATTAACAATTTCGGACATCCCCAATTCATAGACTGGTCTTGCTAGTTCAGAAACAGAACTGCTCTGTTGTTGAGAACTACTGGTAAAAGAACTTCCTTTTGTCTCAATCACATGGTGAGAACATTTAAATACATCCCAGACCAGAATTGAATGTTCTGCTCGATATTTGTCAAGGCCAGCAACTATGAGATTAGTATCAAAAGGGTTCCAAGCAATAGCATTACATTGCCTTGCATGTCTAGGTGCTGTAAAATATTACAGAAACAATTAAAACTAACTATCCTCAAAGGTCCTGAAGTAAGTTCAATCGAAAAGCAAACTCAGTTTGTACTTAGTTCTTTTCCTGGAAGGCCACGAGAATCAAAGGTTGTTGGCCCAAATGTGGTTAAAACTACTTTTCCATTAGCCTGGCCAATTGCCAACAAAAGATCTGGTTCTGCCTGAGGATATATATCAACACACTTGACATAATGATGACTTGAATTTGAAGCAAGCAAATTGGCAGCTGTTGTATCAGAAACAGTTATAGCTAGAACAATGAAAGTGTGTATTATTAAATTTACATCTTGATTTTAATGAACTGAACAATGAAAAAAGATACAGAAGGAATGTAATTATATAACAGTGGCATAACTTACATGTTGACAAGGCGTCCTTCTGTGGAATAATTTCATAAAGAAATATTTCAGTTCCCCAAGTAATGAATTTATCAACATGGACAGGAGACCACTGAACTTCTAATTTGACTCCATTCATTTTTATAAACGTAAGAAAATTAGATTTGTACACACTTTCAGATCATGACTTAGAGGTTAGGACAATAACATTCCCCAGAACGAGGGGTTCGCCACCCTCGCAGTCTTGCGTATATTACACTAGATGAGAACGCAGTAGAGCCCTGAATGAATATGTTAATCTATGGTAGAGCCTGCCAGGATCAACTAGATACAGATATTCGAAAGCAATGACAAGCAGCAACTTCCTGAAAATATAGAAAAAATAATTACATTTGAAATAAGTACTACGCATCATCATATTATTGCGACAGGTAACCAACCTTCCTCATTTGCAGAGAACAAATTAGGTGACAAGATTAGAAAAGGTCAGAAATGAACTAGACTCCTCACGAATCGTAGCCGGGTGTATTCTCTCTGCCTGTCATGCTTATATATTGCATACTGAAGACACAAAATTACTCGCACGACAATGTCAGCGGACTGTGTTGGTCTCCATGCAAGAGTATAAATTCTTTCAATGCTAGGCGCAAATTACGCCCAATAATGCTGTGCTGATCACGATCGCGACCCCGAAACCATAATTTACGGGGCGGGTATAATCTGGGTATAATATGGTATGAACTAATACCATGTACTACGCTAATTCCGCGTGGGTGGCTTTAGCCAACACCATCTTTAGCACGACTACAGGAAGGGTGATGTACTATACTGCCACTTTATTCCGTTCTTGATTTTTACTGCCTGGTCTGTAGTTAAATCTCTCAGTTAATAGATTTTTATTTACACTTGCAAATACATATGGGATATATACGTTACGGCTTCGATACATATTTTGGATTTATTACATTAGTGGGGAGGTTTAGGGGCGGCCAGATGGCACAGACCTTATATCCATTACCTGCTCCTTACGGAGCTTTTTTTCCAGTTTCTCCCTTCCGTACTCAGGCAGTCACACATATAACCTTATAACACTTTGAACACTTGCACCATTTGGTCAGAGAAAGGTCCGGGGAAAAGGAGGTATTGAAGGTGATAAATGATGTTTGGGATAAGCCCCACCAAGTCACAATTCTTAAGAAACATCCATGCCAAAGGTGAGATTCGAATTCGCAGACCCTGCAGTTCGTGGCTGTCGCCAAAACAATTGTTCTATTGGTCCTGCCCAATGAAGAAGTAGAATATCAATTCTATGTCAATAGAAGATATTATTGTTATTGTTAATAGTAATAATATTTATTGAGTCACATATACAATTACAATCGTGCGAGTCAATATCACAATGTCTTGGGTGGAGAGAGTGAAGTTACATTACTGTCTAGAACAAAAACCTGATTGAGATGGGGTCATTGACCTAGGAATTATTCCACAATACTTGTTATTCTTCTTCAGTTTTAAGTCTGCTACGAGTAAGGCAGTGATTTGTGTGCATTTACTTTTTTTTCTGATAACTAACACTCCGTTTCAACAAATTTTGCAAGTTTTGAGACTTTCTTTCGTCTTCTCATGAAAACCTGCTTTAATGACATCCGATACATTATTCTGATTTACAAACAATTATTTTCTGTTACCCCACGTTCCTCAACAACCCTTCAAGACCTAAGATTTAAAAAAAAATCCCTTGGCGTCCTTCAATCTCGCCCATCCCCAACCTAGACCATAGGAAATACATGACACTGTACGACTACGACCGGAAACAAAACCATTGCACCCACTACTTCCTCACTATAATAATCCATACTATTATCTCTCGCATTTTCCTTTCCCCTTTTTTTCCCATTCCCCCACCCCCTTTTGTCTTGTACACACAAAAGCCTTAATAAAGAATTTTTCCACACTTAAAATAACCTGCTCCATCACACCCATCCTGCAACCTAATCCTCATCTTTTTTTGGGGGAACGGCGCAACAAGAGCAATATCAAGAAGGACCGCCACAAAAAATAAAATCTCCTGCATGAAGAGCTTCTGAGCGAACAGGCGTGCTCAAAACAACTCCATCAACAAACGATCGGAATATTATACAGAAAACCAATATGATTGTAACAGAATAAAACTGCGGGAGATACTTGAAAATGTTGGGGGCATTTCCCCCCGTCAAAGATGCTCGTGAGCTTCTATTACAAGTGACGAAATTCTGAAAAGCTAGAGAACCCAAAAGATACAAACCCCTCCAACGTACGTAGAAGGGCACAAATATATGATTAACGAACTTCATTCGCCAAAAGTTCTAGTTTTTTAAATCTTCATAATCTAGTGCTAAGCGACCAACGCTAAATTCGGATTTTCCCTCCCCACGTCAAAGGTATTTGAAAGGTCTTTTAAATGCTTGGGGGGGGGGGTGTTAATCTTAAATTGGATCCCCAACCCTATGATTTGCTCAGGCTCAAGGATCTCCCTAACGTTTTGTACCGATTAAGCTCCAGACCACTTAGATAGGTGGTTGCAGTGCATAGCGTAGTGGGTGCGCACGGGTGACCCGTTATAATAATAATAATAATAATAATAATAATAATAATAATAATAATAATAATAATAGGAGGAGGAGGAGTAATAATAATGTACATTTTTTAACAATTTCTCTTCATATTTTTGTCGCACCTACGATTCGAACTGATTGAAATGAGTACGAAATCTTTCATTACTTATTTTGTGACAACTTCTTTAAATGAATGTATAATAATGACATCTTGCTCATTGCAGCGACTAGCAACAGCGTCTGTACTGACTTGTAAGGATACTCCGTATTTTATTTTGTGTTTGTATAGTTTATCTCTAGGGGCGGATGATGTTTCTGGCCTATAACATTGTCAAAAATGATCAATAAAATGTTTTTAAAATGCTTTAAAAATGCCCTAAAAGCAAAGAAAAATGACGTAAAAAATTGATCAAAACTACTTCAGATGAACAATTCAAGCTATTGGATATGTTACTGACGTACTCGAGGCTTCTTCCTTGTTTTCAAGCGAACTCAGCTTGCAAACGTGGTTTGGAATTTGGACTGTTCTTTAAAATAAAATCTCTGTCTTTATCTATCGCGAAATCGGCGCCGATAAACGTCATAGGAACATTCCCAGATGATGTTGCTTCGTCAATGGACCAAAATGAAGCACCCATTGGACTATTTTTAGAGCTTTCGAAAGCTTTTGACGTCATTGACCATAACATCTTGCTATTAAAATTACCTTTTTATGGAATTCGTGGTATCGCCCTAGATTGAATAACCTCCTAACTTAAACATTGATTGCAAAGAGTAGAAATACCGTACTGGCACAAAAGGACATTGTTTACTTATCTTTCCAATTCTTTACCAATTGAATATGGGAACCCGCAAGGCTTGATTTTAGGTCCTAACCTTTTTCTGTTATAAGTAAACGATATGCCCTCGTCAATTAAAAACGGAGGAACGGTTCTGTTTGCCGATGACCCGAATGTTCTTTGCAAAAAAAGAATTTAAAAAATAGTACGATTTTAGAAGTTTCAAATTGGTTTTGTAATAACAAATTAATAGTTAATGAAGGAAAAACAGTTTCAATACATTTTTGCATTTCAAATCAGCAATCCAGCTCCATTGAAAATGAACAATATGCAATTAGCTGATGTTCAGATAATAAACTTTCTCAAAAATTCAGTCCTAAAAAGGAATGTGCATTTAACAAAATTAAACACTAAGTTAAGTTCATTTTGTTACGCATTCAGAATTCTTTCAAATTCTGACACCCTTCATGCAGCTCGTTGTGTGTATTTTGCAAATGTGCATTCCCGCCTGAGATATGACATAATATTCTGGGGAAAGTCATCATGTAGTACTCAGACGTTTAGATTGCAAAAGAAAATTATTCGAATAATGAAAAAATGCCATCCGCGCCATCCTTGCCAACCTCTCTCCTTGCCTATATATTAACGAATCTGTGGGAACATATTTTCATGCAATACTGATATTTATAATTACAACACACGTTGTAGAAATCACGTTCATCAAGTGCCAGTATCAACAGCTCACTATCAGAAATCCACACATAATACATGTATGTTACTTTACAACGCACTGCCAGATAACATTAAACAATTGAAATCTGTTCACAAATTTTAGTTAGAAATAAAATCTTTTTCTGCTGCATAACTGTTTCTATACAATTAGAGACTATACTGACTATCAAAAAGAAAAAAAAAAGATGTTTATTTTAACAAAATAGTGATATATAATGAATTAGTTTACATTTTTATTCTATATTTTTTTAAAGACTTAATATTTGTAACAAACAATGTTCAGCTTCCGGGTCAATGACCCCCATCTCGAACAAGCCAAAAATCTCTCTTTAATTTTGTAGTTTTGAAATGTTAACATTTTGCAAATTTCGAAAAATTAGAAAGATAGACAAAAATGGGACTAGAACTTCATTTTTACCGTCCCATAATACATATGAGGGGTTTTTGAGAAAAATAATTGTTACGTCTTTTTAATTTGTCTATATTTTGCGCAAAATGGCACGAAAACTACTCATATTTTCGGAAAATTGAACACGATCTTATTTCAAGATGCCTTTAAGAAACAGATTCCTTTAAGGAAATTAGTGGTGCTATATGAATGGCACAGACTTTCTCATACTAGTTAGTTTTCTAAATTCTTTGGTCTGGGCCAGCTTTAAAATCTTGACCCATCCTCTTGCCAGCTGCCATCTATCGCTGCCTAAAGCACATTCTTTTCAATTTTTTCTCCGTTTTTCGGTTTTCTAATGGTAGAACCGATATATTACTTTAAGAATATTAAAGAAGAGTAAAATATCGTCATATAAGAAAAATTATTGTTGAAAACTTTGGAGCTGTTTTTAAGACAATGGCGTTTAAGCGTTACTGTAAATGCGAAATTTGAAACTCATTTGGGCGGAAATTTGTTAATTTTATTGTATTTATGAGTACATGTGTTTTCAATAATGTATAAAGTTTCTCAAAAACTCAAAATTTCCCTGTGAAAATGAACTCAAAATAAGGCGTTTTCAGAAAACTTAAAACGTATTTTTTTTTTCAAAAACGGCTCCAAATTTTTTCTTAAAACTTTTCGAACGAATAGTAGTAATTGCACCGTTAAAAACGCGAAAATTATTTTTGGGGTATTCTTTTGATTTAAAAAAATACACAAATGTATTTTTTTAAATATCTCTCGCGCCGTTAATGTGCACATTTCCAGCAAATTGTAAATCATATTACATTTGTGAGTGAAAGTGCTTCAAATGACATAGAATAAAGTTTAAAAAACTCTGGAGTTTTTTGTGGAAAACAGTTTCAAATTTCGCATTTACAGTAACGCTTAAATGCCATTTTCTTCAAAAAGGCTCCAAAGTTTTTAAGAAACATCGGGGGTCCTTTTCGAAATATTGAGGGGGAACCTCAGGCCCCTGGTTATATACTCCCGGCTCTGGTCTCCCGTGCCTACGAGCTATAGGAACTTGAAACAGTGTATTTTTTGTTATGATGCAATTTTTGTTTAATAACAACATATTGATTAGAAAGGGAATCCAAATGGGGAAGCAATATATTCAATATTGAGTTGAATTTATATATAAGGGTTCTTAAGTTTTTGCGGCGGGCGGCTGGAAACGAGACAGGTCTCGCAAAGTGGATTGCATTATTAACTTACCCGTCAGACACTAGTTTGACATATGTCTTGTTATCAAAACATGTGTCAAGATACCGTGATATCAATGTTCTATAAACGAAAATGCGCTGGAAAATAATAAATGCGTAAATATTAACCGTTAAAATCATAACATCGGGTTTCTGAATCGATAACTTTATCATATTTAAAATAAAGAAATATAGCAATTATTTCCTTTTATAAACTGTACAGATGCGGTTTTTAACAAAGTAACTAACTACTGCTACTAACATGTAACAGTATCTGCTTTATTGTGCACTTGGTTGTACCCCAGTTGTAATGGTACTTGAAGGTGATGGGCCCGATTCAGCTAGACTATTAGAGCTTTCTTGAACAAGGAGGCAAGACGAACAACTATATTCTAATATTCTTTGCGTCAACTCGCACTGGTAAAAGTGAGAAACAACCTTTTTATTTCTCATATTTGCAGGACGTATTTATTTCCATGTGACAACTAGCGTTTAAGAAAACTGCAAACGTCAGATGCGAGAACGTCAACGACTTCCATAGTTGTGTGAGAACCAGAAGACAACGCCTCTATTTATCTCAATTATTTCTTGTATTATTGGCGTTTACCTGTAAGTAATAAAAACATTGAAGAAACGATAAAGGAAAAGTAAAGATGTTTGCATGTATAGCAGCTTTAGCTTTATGTGCCTAATTTCTTTTGTTTTATTAACGTGACATTTGACTCATTCTCGTTGTAATGGGAGTGTGTCATGTCTTTTACCGGGTTTGATTAAAACGAAGGATTTTCAATTTCTGCCGAAACGTTAATTAAAACAATTCTTAGCCGTTCTGAATTTTATTAAACTGTACACTTCGAGAGGTTACGTCTTTAATAATTATTGTTGAAATAACGTAATAGTACTAGTCCTTGTAGCGATAGTAGTAACAGTAAGTCCTCGAATTGTTTTGCATGTGTCTTGATTTTAAGGCCATTACAAAGTATTAGAGAGATCGGAAATATGGCCAAGAAACTTAATCAGCAACCTGCACTTCACAAAGTGATAATGGTTGGAAGCGGAGGTGTTGGAAAATCAGCACTGACATTACAATTCATGTACGATGAGGTGTGTAAAGAATAGTTGTTTTGAATTGAATCAAAAATGCTTAGAAACATTGTGTAGCAGCTAACAAAACTGTATATTGAATGCATTGTATTTTAGTTTGTGGAAGATTATGAACCCACCAAAGCTGATTCCTACCGAAAGAAAGTAGTGTTGGATGGTGAAGAAGTACAAATTGACATACTAGACACTGCTGGTCAGGAAGATTATGCAGCCATCCGGTTTGTTATTGCTGTATTTTCAAACAATAAGCTACCAAAATTACTTTTTTTGTAATCAAACATTTTCTTTTCATTTATCTTTTCAGAGACAATTATTTTCGAAGCGGTGAAGGATTTTTGTGTGTCTTTTCAATAACTGAAGATGATAGCTTTCAGGCAACACAAGAATTCAGGTAAATTTTTAGAAATAATGTAATTATTGAACTTTGGATGATTTTATTGTAAAGTGGAATTATAATTAAGGCTTTGACCTATTTTGTATAAATAATCTGATTTCATACAAATATTTGTTTCTCTAACAAAGGTCTTAAAAAAAGTACATCTTAGAGACCAGATAAATGTTTATTTTGTGGATACTAAGTGTTTTACTAAATATATTCCATAGAAGACGGTCACCATTTGTCATTGGAAGTTTTTTTTTCCTCTTTAAGTAGTTTCATTTGGTGTTTTCGATAAGGAGAATAAATAAAGTTTAAAACATCATTTTTATTGTATGAAATTTTTAAAAAGTCATGAGAAAATATCTTGTATGTAACTAATTTTAAAATTGAAAATTGGTGAAACTTGTTATTGTTGTTGTTATTATTATTATTAATATTATTATTACTTTTTAGAGAACAGATCCTGCGGGTGAAAAATGATGAAAATATTCCGTTTTTGTTGGTTGGAAACAAAAGTGATTTGGATGAGAAACGCAAAGTTACTCTTGCTGAGGCAAATAGTAGAGCACAACAGTGGAATGTTCCTTATGTGGAAACTTCTGCAAAAACTCGAGAGAATGTTGACAAGGTGAGTAATGCAAATGATTTTGTTCAATTTACTAGCTGTGTGTTAGAGCTTTGCTTCTCAGAATGCACTGCTTTAATTCTAGTGGTGTCATCCTAAATGCTTTGTGTGTTATAGCACAGCTTTGTGTAGAAGGAAGTGTGTGAATATCATGGGAACAATGTACTTCTTAGAGCTTCTCTTGTGCAATGAAGTTTGTGTTAGAAATTGTTTTTAAACTATTGTTTCTATGTTGCTTTTAATACTTTTGTCTTTAACTCTATTATTTTTAAAGGAAACTGCCTTTCTTTCAGATGTGAAACAAGCATATTTTTAAAATGTCAAAGTTAACAAAATATATATTTACAATTGAATTCAATTGATGTAATTTTTATGTGTGAGGAAATTTGTGAAATCATCTAAGGAAAAATTTAAATTTCAAACTACATATCCACAAGACTGGTAGTTAAGGAACAATAATATTAAAATCAATATTTGTCTGTCTCTCGTAACTTAATTTGTTTTTAAAACTAATAGTTGAGTATATAATATTCTTTGATCTACTTTTTCAATCATGATAATTTTTAGCCCCCTGACATTTATAAATGTTTTTGTGAATTAGAATTTCTCATAATTGAAAGTTCAAGAGAGAAGTATGCCATGTATTTTGAATGTAGAATTTTACTGTGTTGAAAAGCAACAAATGTTGGATATACACATGGCTCTCGTTCTTAGAATACAAGTGCAGTTCCAACATTTACAGGTGTTTTACGACCTGATGAGGGAGATTCGATCTCGCAAGATGGAGGATAACAAAACGAACAACGGCCGGGGAAGGGACAAGAGCAAGAGGAAGAAACTGAAGTGTGTCATTCTCTAGGTCGGGTCTTATTTTTGTGCATACCTGCTTTTCTTAAGCAGGGTTCCTAGATCCCTCTTCCAATTAAAATTAGTGTCATTAAACTTTTGCCGTTCTTTTGAGCAGTGGTGCTCTGCCGTGTTCTTAGGATATGGTGTTTGTATTTTTAAGCCCTTTGCTTATATATGAGGAGTTTTTTTGACCTTACTGCCAGAGACTATTCAATAGAAGGGAGGTGACATAAAAAACATCATAATGTTTATATTTTTTTAATAAGACTAATTGGAATTTGGGTTTTGTTACAAAGCTGCTGAATTGCCTACTATATTTTTATTTCCATAATTTCTTCTCGTAATTATGAAATCATGGGAAGTGTAGATGGTGTGTTTCAGACTTGAAAGAAATGTATAATCTTAAGAGAATATCAACTTCAGAAATAATTATGGTTTCTAGCATGAAACACTAATTGCCAATTGATATCAGGGATATATTTATAAGCTTCTAGGGGCACCACTGCTAAAGTAACTCAAACCTCGTGTGAAGTACTCACTGTTTTGCACTGAGAGCTTCACACTATGCTTGAAAAGAACTTTGACTGTTTTGGGTCATGGAACCCTGCTGCTTTGTATGGTGTGATGAACAATCTGCATGGAATAACCAGTAAAATGTGTTTGAGGTCAATTTGCAGGACTGCACTCCTTAAAATAGTAACAGTATGTTGTGCAGGATGTACATTTATGTTGTGTCTACAGGGAATGGTTTCTATGTGTGACCAAGTTACCTGTTTTAGTTTTTGTTGCAATTGTTGCTTTGCATATTAACTACTAATGTGTCATTTAAACATTTTTTGGGCTTGCTTTTTCCTTTCAGTTACTAACTTTTTCTGAGAAAATTGGTTTTTGGTGCTGCGTGCTGCTTCTGCATTTTAATTTCAACCAATTGACTTGATTTGAATTGGCTATGATGTTATTATGGGTACAAAACTTCGATATTATTGTGAGAATATTCCTCTAAGAAATTTCAGTATTAGTGAACATTACTGTTTCATACATTTTATAATTTTTATTCTAAAATATTTGTAGGATTTATATTATTGCCATTTATACAATGCTTGTTTTTAAGCACATTGTAAAAGAAAGTAAATGCTCTTGCAACTGTTGAGTATGGGTCTCTGTGAAATATTGAATTATTTGTGGCACCAAAAATTTCCATTCCATTTGCATCTGATTGAGCTTTTCAAGTAAGCTTTATAATAAGATAATGTCACGCAAGATAAGTGGGGTATTAAGAGTATTGCAAAGATACACATTACAAATGATTTTGAATCATAGTTCGTGAATACTTCATTTTAACAAATTTAAAAAATTCTGTTTTTGATATTGCATTTCCAATTTTTGTTTTCTCTCTCTTGTTTTAACGCATAAATTAATTTTTCCTTTTACAGAATAATTTTGTTGCATGTTCATGACAAATTTTCTTTTTTTTACATATTTATTGTATAACTAATTTTCCTTCAATATGTTTAAATTAAATTTATAATATATTCCAAATAATCATTAGGGAGGGTCTACACAGGATAATGGAGATAAAGATGTCATAATTTCCTGGTGTCTGTACAGTTCTGCATGCCTTCGATATGTTACTCTCATTGTGTATTGAAATATGGATTGATATTTGCCATAATTCTTTTCACTGTGAGTGAAATTAAAAATGTCATAATATGTTATTTATTTTGACCATATTATTGGCAGAAATTTGTGTAAAAAAAAAAAAAATGTTATAAAATTTTGACTCTTGCCTTAAATTCATTTTGAAATGTAGTGGAATTGAAACATTAGTATTATTATATTTGCTCAGAAGGATTGCTTCAAGCAATTATCAGTGCACAAAGATGTAATTCTAATTACTTAATCTAAGAATGAAATCTCATTTATTGTGCTTCCCATTGATGGGTTGAATCAAAAATTGATACAAAGAGAGATAGTATTGTCATATTTTTTAATTCATGAAAAAGATGTATAGATTAGTGCAAAATGAATTTTTTATACTTATCAATTTTTCACAGTGAATGTAATTGTAAAATGATGTTAGCCACATCATGTTAAGTTGCAAGAGATGCAATACATATTCTGTTTATTTGCTCGTGTGAAAGATTTTACCTTGAAAATTTCCTCCTAAACACAAAGAAAGGTGTCATTATTAACCCTGATATGCCAATTGTTCTTTTAGTTTGACAATATTTAGCACTTTGAGTTTCACTCCTAGTTAATTAATCAGTCGTCTTTGAGGTAGTGTTCTAATTGACTTCTTTTTCAGAATTAGATGAACTAATAATTTGAATACAAGACAAGCTAAGATAGTAAGGAGGGGAAAAATCATTGTTTAGTTTTGCTTTTGAATTTCTCACATCATTTTCACTGTATTGTAGTTTTCAAAGCTTATCTCTTTTCAATCCAAAATTGTTTTAATAACTTAAGTCAAATAGTCAGTTAAAGATGTGAAAATCATGTCTTGTGACTAAAATAAACATCAATGATTGGAATGTTATTGAGATTAATTAGTAAGAATTCTTTTAAAGCATTGAAAATAAAGGTATAGCAACATTTGTTACACAGTTCTCACTTTTATGTAATTTGAGAACATTCTTCAATTGAATGACATGAATTATTTTTTGTGGCTGAAAGCAATGACAAGAAAATAGACAATCTGTTTGATATATAGATGTGCTCATAATGTTCTACAAATGGTACACATCATTCAGGGGAATGAGGATGTTACATCTAGAAACGAATCATGATTGGCAACAACTGCAGAAGCTGAAGTACAGTGGAGTCTAAATAATTTTACTTTGGATAATTCGAAAAAAAAAACTGTTCTTGAAATCATTATTTAGATCAAGGTTAAAAGTAAATAATTCAAATTTACGGAAATAATTATGCGTGAATAATTCAAAAGATTTTATTGCACTAAGAATTCAAAGAGAAAATTCTTTGTTTTTTCTTGAAATGTTCCAAATTGTTACTGAACAAATTATTACAAGAATGCGAAGCTTGCTTGATGGGGAGGGGTGGTGGTAGTGATAATGTTTCAAATGATATTGTGAACATAAATTTTAAGGATATTTGTAATCCTAATTTAAAGAACAGAGTGGATTGCATTTAAGTTCAAGTAAAACTTGATGTACTTTAAGAAGTGGTTCCAGGAATTTATCACTAATAGAACTATCTGTTTCCTTGCGATAATTTATTAATTAAGCAACTGTTTTCTACTACTACGGAACAAGAAATCACTATTACGAATATCAATATAGTATAACTCTTATAACTTATTCTTCTGTCCTGCCTTCCCCCGCACCTGCGCCATCACATCCACCCACTCGCACTCCTGATCTTGCTCTACCTTACGAAGTTCATACCTTGCCTTATTGTCGGTGCTCACCTGGCCCCCCACACCATACAGCCGTGTTTGCCTACAAATTATTGTTGCTGATAATTGTTGCTGTGGGTAGCAGTAAACATGCATTGTTAACGTATTCATGGCAAACTAGTCAGTAATAATTGTGACATATAATTACTCAAACATAACTGCATTATTTAGATGAATCAAATGTTATTTAGAAGAAAATTTTATGGGCTTTAAAAAATGTTTAATTACTTTAAGTGGTATTTATTAGTGAAATTTGCTCAGCCACATCGAAATCAGTTCATCTATTCCTGAACTTTCCCTGGACAAACAGACAGACAGCCAAAAATTGTAAAAATAATATAATTAGGATGAATAACAACTTCAGAACTAAATTACCTACTTTTCTCATTCATAATAGGATGAAATTGTGCTTTATGAATTTGTCCGCGTGTCAATTCTCCTTTTAGAAGGATACCTATTGATTGCTAAATAACTTATATCCAAATCATTTTCAAACCTCATATTTATTAAGCATTACTGAAGTGTAAAAGTAACTCAAAATTAAAAGAAATATTTTAGGTGTATCTGGGTTAATGTGACATTGTTAGTTTTTGATAATTTCTACCATGTTTATTATGCATGTGCAGGAATACTTTCTTTTACTACAATAATACAGCATTTCTGCAACTTATTTCAGTACATGCAGTACATATTTCAGTACATATGTACGTGTATTCATACTGACTATTTGTGTGTAAATTAAGTTAAATAAATTGGAGTTTCTTAGTTTCAGTTGTCTTTAATGGTTGCTAAAAAACAACAAATGGATCTATTTTTAACTTATGGTACATTTATAATTCCAAAAGCCAACATAAATATTAAACAGAAGAGATAGTTAAAATGTCTGATGTTATTATTTTCACAGGTCTTCTATGATTTGATGCGAAAAATCACAGCTCTGAAAGCAACGGAAAAAAATGTGAATGAGCGGAATGATGATAATGCAGCTGGGTCATGTTGTGTGATTTTGTGAATTAGCGGAATACATGCATGCAGTTATTTCACATAGCATCAGACTGCTGTAAGGAACAAACCTGGTGCTGAGAGAATGATGTGTGTGTGCAAGTGACATGGAAGTTGGGCCTTATAGTAATGTTGCTTGTGTGTCTCAGTGGTTTATTAATACAAGTGGTAAAAAGCAATTTCTGAACCCCAGTTAAGGCAAAAACAGCTTTATATACATGTATTTAAATATGAGGACTTTGTAAGTTTCTATTATGCTCTGTAAGTAGATATGTACACTAATATTCTGTATATTTTCCTTTTCATTCAGTATAGAAATTAAGATACTTATGGCTGATAATTCATATCTTGAGTCTTTGTTATTTTTTCCTGATAGGCTTGAGATATCTCTGGGCGTTTCATAAATAAGCATGTATAAGCAACTGAGTGTTTTGTTTGATGAAATTGTAGCATTATACTTATAATAATATGATGATTAAATAACAACTCAGTATTCTGTGGAGAAAGAATCATGAAGGCCAGTGCAATACACAGAACTGAAGAAATATTTATGTGCAGTTAAGTTGGAGTGATTCAAGGCCAAATTTCTGCTGTAATGATTGTGAAGTGCCACTATTGAAAATTGGATAGCAGTGCTCATGGATGTTATCATGTTGAAACTTTTGTTTATATCAAGAAAAACTTACAAATTGTTACAGTGTCTATTCAGACCTGCTGCCATGTGCCTTATTATTTTACCCTATTATTACATGATATTTTGTTTTCCTTCTCTATTGAATTATGCAAATTGTAGTTAAATTCTTAGTGGGCCACATCCCAACTAATTTCTGTGGTTATTTCCACAAAAATGTTTAGAACTTTTGTAAACAAATACCTCATAGATGTATTATGTTGAATGTGTTGGGTAAGTTAACCCTTTTCATACTTCACTTGCTAATTATTAGTATTTTTCATAGTTGCTAAATATCCTTGTATCTTCCAACTGCAGCTGCACATTATACTGGTGTACTGCAATCTCAGTAGTGCTTATTTGTAGTTTTCATTCAATGTGTGTATAAGTTACTGGAGGTCTCTTCCTGTTATTGTTTAAATGTACAGTAAACATTATTGTTTTCTAGTTTTGTTTCTTGTACCCAGGCATTGATACTGTAATACTTTTTTAATGTTCTTGGATTGCACATGAGAGTCAAAATACTCCATCCAGTCCAAGTGGTGATCTTTACTTTTACAAATGAACAAAACATTATTATTTATTGTACATGTAAATCAAATGATTCAGTATAAAATTATTTTAACTGGAGGCAAAATAGATAAGAATGTGGATATAAACTGAAAAATATAATAAAGAACTTGTAAACCACATCAAGAAATTTTTAGTTGCTGCTATATTATGGAACATGCTGAATTATTTGAACTGCTGCATTGAGCACGCAATCATATTTCCATGTTCTTGTAAATCTATTCTATTTACAAGTACTTTTTTTTTTTACTTGGTAAATTCAAATTTGTTGCAAGGTATGTTAACAATAAATATTATTTTAATCAATATTAAAATTCGTGTTGAAATATAAATAAAATTGTTAGGGCAGTTGTGTCCATTTCTGATAGAACAAGACTTCTTCCGTATTAATAACCATTTATTATAGTTGAGTGAACATATCATTATTTTGGTATATTAAATATACCTCACATTCCACTTTTCTGCCTTTTGATTTGTCTTTATAAGAGTAAAATTAGTTCTTGTGGTCATGAATTAGCACTTTGTTCATTGGTATGCATTTCTATATGGCTGAGTCTCACTTTTTATGTATTGTAAAAACCTGTCAAATGGAAAAGAAAGTATCATAATTTTAATTGAAAGAGTTGTTCTGTTCTACCATATATCCCTGAAGCTCTGCAGTATTCTTTATTGTGGTCTCAGTTATAAATGAACTGAGAAAAAAACGAGAGGGTTAGTGAAATAATTCACTAAATTGCTGTTAAGTGTGACTTATTTGTCTAAAAAAAAGAAAAGGCAGTAAGTGTGACATTCATTTATAAAGTCGATACTCAAAATTTATAGTCGCACGAAATATCTTTTTTCCCCAGTCCTTATTATTCCACATATTTTTGTGTACATTCGTGGTCCTCCTAACGCTTCTGTTTATGGATCAAAATATTTAATAGAATCGTCTAAAAGAAATTTAAGTTTAAAATTTTGTACTTTTTTAATTAGTGTTAAGAATGTTCTACAACTTATAAAATGAATTTATCTGAGCTTTTCTTTTTTTTTCTTTTTTATCATTAATTTCCTCACAAACTGCAGTACAAGATGTCTGCCAGTATTTTCTGTTTTGCAGAAAGACAGACATTATTACTACTTATTTTTAATTTTCTACAAGTACAGTAAGTATTTAATTAAAATGCAAATTCATATTCAAGATGTAACATCAATAATATTCGATATCTGGTTCATGCTGTCAAAGGAAGCTGTTATAAACCTTTAAAGAAATCATGTGCTCTGCTTTCGAATGTGGCATACAGCAATGTATTTCGTGTAGAGCAGGGATTTGCAAACTATGATATGTGTTCTTTGCGATTTGCTTCGCGTATGCAACTTGCAAACTGTGATATGTGAATAACTTTGTAGGGAGGGCAACATAATAATCAAAACCTATTATTAAGGAAACATAGGAGTACATTAATCAGGCTTTTCTAAGGTGTAGAATCTTCAAATAATTTGAGAACCTCTAAGATAGAACATTTTACTGAACATGCGTTACTTGCAGATGTTAAGTTGAAGTTCTTGCTTTAATTATCATTCAAAACCGTAAAATGCCAGGTTTCTATAGAAAAACATTGCTCCTCGACTGAAAAAATCAGAATTGTTAAAAAGGTCTTTTGCCTGTCCGTACTCCGTTCCTGCACATTGCACAAAGTTTTTATAAAGACAATGTGCTATTGATTAAATTCAATTTAAGGCATTATGAATTTAAAATAAATATTTTAATTTTGGAGGTTACCTTTTACAGCATTTTCCCTCCATAAATATATATGTAGGATTTGTTTTTGATTAAATAATTCCTTTGAATGTAGGAGCTGCCAAGATTTAAAAAAATATTATTCTTTGGCAGTGTTTCTAAGACTATAAAATTTCTTGTACAATATTCACTGCATACATCTTCGATGATATACAGTGAAGAGTTATTTTTCTTAATGTGTCTTGGATAGACATAGAGGAATCTAAGAATCAGAAATGGTTTAGATGTTTTGCATTGACTTACTAAAACAAAAATGTGTGCTGTAGTATCTAAATAATATATGGATTTCTCAAATTATTAGAGCTACTAGAGTGATACATCACACACTATGTTAAACTGTCTTAGTGTAAACGAGGGAAACATTTTTGTATTTGGTTTAAGATAATGGGTCTTTTTTATTGTTTAATCCTTAACAAAATGTTGAGTAATGTGGTAGAATAAACACAAACACTTTCATTAATTCTTTATTTGAAGAATCAAAAAATTAGGTTTTTGCACACAACAAATCACTTGGATCACTTTGGCACAAACAAGTACTTAAATTACATAGGAACCCTGAAGATCTAATGAGGTAATGAAACTTAATAGTCTCCAAATTCAAAGGATAGCATGTCTTTAGTGTCCTGGGTCTGATAGCCCCTTCCTCGTCTGGGTACATACGGAATTAATATGTAATACAGATGAACTGGCAGAAAAAATTTAAGAATTCTTTTTATGTCTTGCATCTTTTTGAATGGTATTAGCATTGCTGCCTTGTCCTGCACCGGTAATTGCAGAGGCTTAGCAGAACGCCTGCAAATCTGTTTCATTAGGTTTGAGGTCTATCACTTTATATGTTTCTGAATAGTTGTCATTGAAATGTATGAGGCTAAGTCCTTGAAGAATTTTATTTTTCACATTTGTAATATCTGTGCAGCCTCATCGAAAACAGTTTTATGGTCTTTGTAGTGACCTGATAGGCTTTTAAAATCCAGAAACTTATCAGTCATGTCTCGAACTATAAAAGGTTTACGCTTCTGACAGCCATGCATGAGGTTCATGCCTGAAGTGTGAAGATGTCTATTCTCTTCTTTTGCTCTCGACTTATAAATGAAAAATCCATGTCATTTGGTGTGTATGTGTGGCCATTCACAAGGAATGCCCCGACTGGGAATCGAACCCGCAAACTAACCCATAGGGATAGTTTCCATAATTTAATATTTACAAAATAAGTAGAAACTTTGTGTTATCGTGTGTGTGTTATGCAAATGGAAAAAAGAGTAACACTATTTAGATATGAGAATTTATAATTTAGCACCAAGAAAAGAAAACTGCTCCGTGATCAAAAGCTCTTTGCAACCTACAAAACCGTAAATTTAAAAGACAATTTTGTGTTAATTATTGCAACAGAATATTGTCAGTAAGTTGTTGTAAATTTAGTAAAGTGTGTGCTGTTTACTAAGGAAAGAATGGTTTGATTTATGGACAACTTCTAGTTTACATTAATGCCTGAAGTTTTATTGCACACTTCTTGGTGTGGTAATCAAAAAAACATTCAAGGATCATTGGAGACTTTTGAGAATTTCTAACAACAAAATATTTAGCATATATTGCTATTATTTTTATAGAAGACACAAAACTTGATGTGAAAGTTTTTTTGGCAGAAGATGGGAGAAAAATTCCTCCATTGCATTTTCTCCAACAACTTCTCCTGGTGACCCAGTGCCCAATCTTACCCTATGACACTTGTCTTGGAGCATGATAGTTTTGTTAGCTGATCAACAAGTTAAAAAAAATTAGAATAAAATATGATTGATGAAACCACTAAGTCTTCTGCGAGCACAAAGATCAGCTCAGAAGCCTCCTGTGTGTTCATGACGACGATGAAATATTTAAAAAAATTCATAAATTTACAGGACTAGGAGGAGTGTCGCTATTAAAGCACCATTAGTTTCTAAAAGACGATGAGATG